CGTCACCGATGATCTTATCAGTGTTATCCCGTACGGTGTAGCAAAACCCTTAATTACCGATAACATGCTTTTCATGCCGGTCCAACAACCAGAGCCAGAAAACCGCATAAACATTCCACCTAATATCATGTAAGGCAGATAAGGCAGTAAATTATAGATTTCTGGTAACATATACGAAAGCATTAGAAACAACATTCTGGCTAGCAACATCCAGGAAGAAAAAAACCAATGTCTGATCACAGCAATTTACTTTCCTTATCTCAACCCTACTTGTTCAGACACTTCCCTCATGCCAGGAATTGGGCAAGGCCTTAGAATATGCTTTGAAAAGAAAAGGTTTTAGTAAACTCTTCAGTGATCAGTCTTTGGAAATTAGTTTCCCTTAAAATGGTTTTTATGGGAGGTGGGGAGTGTTAACGGTGAAACTCATTTTAAGCAATGAGGCATTAATTCTGGTATGGTAGGAGTTGAAACTTCAGTTAGGACAGTCGCTATGACATCTTGCAATTGAAAGAAAATTTTTAAAATATATAAAAAAAAGCAAGTTTTGGAAGAATTTGATGAATGTCTTGTTAAAAAGACTTTTTAATCATTAAGAGATTTAAAACTAAGGTGTTATGAATGCTGGTTTTGCGCAGCAGTACATGAAAAGTATATAGACAAAATCAGTACAAGTAGCATTCCCAATAGCTGGAACTCCTGTTTCTCAAAATCTAAGTAGATTAGCACCAGATCTTTAGAGGAGTCAAGTCTTAAAAACTCTGTTGCAGGAGGTAGCTCAGAGAACCACCATCTTTAAAACAACTACACATGAAGAGGAAGAGAAGGAATCTGAGGAAGAAGCTGAAGCTTTGCAGGAACAAGTCCCTTCTCACCAGCGGGTATCTTAAGTTAATGTTATTTAGGTTGAAAAAAACAATATATAAGTAATGAATTTTTGGAAAAAAAATGTTTGGCTGTGAGTATTCCTTTATTTTTGTTTTGCTTCATCAGTAATATAATGAAAGCATGAAGCTACGATACTAAAACCAGTATAAAAATATTACTTAATGTATTTCATTGATGGAGAGAGGTAGATTTTTCTTAATGTAAGGTTTTAAAGCTTAAAGATTTGGGTTGTTTTTTTTTTCCTTAAACTCTCTTCCTGATAAGATTTCCCCCAGGCCAATTGGTTTTGGTAAAGTTTGGCTTAAACATGTACACCTGAATTTACCTAAAGTTTTGAGAATTTAAATCTCTTATTTTCTCTGGTAATTTCTTCAAATCTCTTATTTCCTCTATCAGAGAAAATATCTCTAGCATGCTGAAGAAATGCAACTCTGAAGGCAGTAAAAAGGTGTGAACTTGCATTGAACAATGCAAAATATTTTGAAGTAGAAGGAAAAATACTGATATATTACATACTTCATTGTTCACATTCTTAGTTTTATATATTACCTTACTGTTTTGACCAGTTTTTCTAAAAAAAAAAAAAAAAAAAAATATGGGGAAATGTAACATAACAAACAAGCTCCTATAATGTAATGTTTAAGTTTGCTAGTTGGCATAAAACTTCAGTTAATATATATCTTAAAGTCAGTTAGAAAAGATAAGATAGAACACCAATTAAAAGTGTGTATGTTAAATAGAAAAAAAATAAGACTTTGCTGTGTTGGAAATCGTATTTTTCGGCAACCATGGGTTTTTGGCCTATAACTGAACCATAAAATATAGTCAGGTTTTTATTGCAGTTTTGCAAAAGTACTGAAGTGCATCCAGCTGCTCTTGTTGTTACTGGGATTGTGAGTTCAGTAAAGTGAGTGTCTTAGTAGCTTTACTTCCAAAAATATTATAGAGAGATTAGATTTCTTTAGATAAAAACTCTCAAGATACTGTATGCTTCCTGTGGTACACACCACCTGTCTGAACTTAATGATGCTTTTTGATTTAAGTTTCAAATACAGTAATGACTTAGGTTGTGTTTTCCTGGTAGCTGTCCTCCATTACCTCTTGTAGGAAAGGATATCTAGCATTGTTTTACTTACAGGGAATAACAGGTTGTACAGCTTTGCATGCTAACTATTGCTTAGATCATGTCAGGCTAGTAATTTCATACATTAAAATGTACAGTATATATTATTTTGAATTGCTACATCTTTTACTGCTGCATTTTTTTTCAAAGATGACTCTTCCTATTTGTAACAGGAAGCCCCAAGGACCTCTGGCAGCAGATGTGTGACCATGTAAACTTCGAGTCAACCAAGGTTCCTCAAATAGCGATAATCCTTGCTTACAGAATAGAGCCTTCTCAGAAGCACAACGTTTTATTTCTGAATAAATTTTTAAGCTGTGAGTCTGATGGCCTTCAATTTGCTTTCACTGAAAAGGAAATTTTATAAAGTATCTAACTTTCTCACAGAATGTGAATTGTTGTCTCTGAACGATGTGCTGTCTGAAAAATTATCTCTGTCCTTTAGATCTATATGCCAGTCTCTTACTGAAACCTCGCTGGAATAGAAGCATTCCACTGTATTTTGGGGATTGATTTTTGTTCAGATTACACCACTCTAGTCTAGTCAGTTTCTCCTGACCTCTTTACATCTAGGTGCTGTTGGGGAAGGCATTTTTGATACTGTGAACTCTTTTATACTGGAGACTTTTTTTTCCTACAGAGCAATCAAGGCAATAAAACTTATTTTCATAGAAAAGAACAGCTTTTGAAAAAAAAAACCACACAAAACCAAAACAAACCACCAAACCCCTCGCACCCCCCAGGTGCTGATTTAATATGGATTGTCTTGCTTGTTTACAATTTGTAGGAACAAAACCAAGTCTTTTCAGGGGTCTAGTGTACATTTGTATTAAAACCAAAAGTTTTTTCTGTCCTTTCTGCATTAACTTAACATATGAAAAAATTTTGAATAAAGTATAAGATGTGACCGAATGAAGCTTTTGGAATTTGTTTCTTCCTAGAACTGAGCTAAAAGTTGAATGAGTGTTGAATACTTGGAACTGATAGGCTATGAAGCTGGTGAAATGTCCATGTAAATGGAATGGTGGCAATTGACTTGTAAAGATTTCTTCTAAATAATGACGCACATAACTGTGTTTGGAAAATTAATTCTTTAGAGCATTATTCAAACTCTGCATAACTGTTTCTGCATCATCTTTGCTCATCTGTTAATTCTTACTGGACTGGATTTTACTACATCATACAAGTATCAGGCTGAGCAGTTTCAGCATGTCACAAAACCATAACTATTTACAGTATTTCTAAATTTCTATTTATCTTCATCTTAGTCTGGAACTATTTTTAAATGCATGGCCAGAATTTTGGAAGCTGATACGAGCTTTTTTCTAGCATTAGTCTCATGACAAATTTAAGACTTTTTAACATGTCTTTTTGTCTTAGCTTAAGTTCCCTTTTCTGGTGAACTGCACAGTGGCATTTCAAACTTGTGCCAGCACAAGGGGGCTGGGGGCAGGGGATGGCCAGGGGTTATGCAGATGGATGAGGACTGGGGGGACTGTCTTTTGGCAGTAATGCTGGCTTAAACAACTGCATTAAACCATAATGTAATAACTGATTTAATGTCCTGTTTATATTTTAATGTTTACATTGTATAAATATTTTCATGTCTCTTAAGCAACACACTGTATACTGTAACATTTGGAATATTCATTTTGATCTATAGAAATAATGGCTTTCTAATGGCTGAAGGAGGCCTACAGGAAAGCTGGAGAGGGACTTTTTACAAGGGCATGTAGAAGATTTAGATTAGATATACGGAAGAAATTCTTCCCTCTGAGGGTGGTGAGGCACTGGAACAGGTTGCCCAGAGAAGTTGTGGATGCCCCATCCCTGGAAGTGTTCAAGGCCAGGTTGGATGAGGCTTTGGGCAACCTGGTGTAGTGGAGGGTGTCCCTGCCCATGGCAGGGGGGTTGGAACTAGATGATCTTTGAGGTCCTTTCCAACCCAAACCATTCTATGATTTTATTCATTGTAGTCTCAGATACCTGTAGGTGTACACAATGTAAATGAACATGTACATTGTAGGAAACAGTTAATTCCATTCCTTCTTGTTGTTTTCAAAACTAATAGCACAGGCTAGCAATGTTTTCCCTTAAAGACTTGATTGGGCCACTTAGCTAGACCTGTTAATCTCTCCAATCAGTAGTAATGAAAAATACTTTGCGTGTAGGCATTGGGTACCTAATTCGTAGTTGGAACTTGCCAGTATAATCAAGCATTCTTTGTTATAGCTTTTGTAGAGCACGATGAGGAACACTGCAGTAGCTTTTCCTGAATGCATAGCCAGGAGCTGCTACTTGAAACTAATTTTCCCTATAAAGACAGCTTTTATATGGGTCTCATGAATATTATGGTAAATCAGCACTCTTGTGATGGATGATAATGGGAGAAATGTGGATTTTTAGAAAAATTATTTTGCTGTTATTAGTATTTCTGTAAACTAGCCTAAAAAGTGTTGGGAAACACAAATGACCCTTGTGAGGAATGTATGTTCACTCTAACCATTGGAGTGAAACATCCTACCACTAGGTGGAGATCTTATTCAAATATTAAAAAAAAAAAAAAAATCCAAGACTTCCTACACTTCCCCGTGAGTTGTGTAATAACTTTTGAAAGTCTCTATTGAACAGAACAGCTTCTGTTCTCCTATCTCTTCCCCACTTTCATAGAATCACAGAATGGTTGGTTTTGGAAGGGACCTGAAAGATCATCTAGTTCCAACCCCCCTGCCATGGGCAGGGACACTTTCCCCTATATCAGGTTGCTCAAAGTCTCATCCAACATGGCCTTGAACACTTCCAGGGATGGGGCATCCACAACTTCTCTGGGCAACCTGTTCCAGTGTCTGACCGCTCTGAGTGAAGAGTTTCTTTCTTAGATCTAATCTAAATCTGCCCTCTTTCAGTTTAAATCCATTGTCCCTTGTCCTAGCACTACACGTCTCTGTAAAAAGTCCCTCTTCAGTTTTCCTGTAGGCCCCTTTTAAGTACTGGAAGGTCTCCCCGGAGCCTTCTCTTCTCCAGGCTGAACAACCAACTCAGCCTGTCTTCATAGGAGAGGTGCTCCAGCCTTTGGATTGTCTTCGTGGCCTTCCTCTGGACTCGCTCCAGCAGCTCCATGTCCTTCTTGTGTTGCGGACTCCAGAGCTGAACGCAGAATTCCAGGTGGGGTCTCACAAGAGCAGAGTAGAGGGGCAGAATCCCCTCCCTCAACCTGCTGGCGACACGTCTTTGGATGCAGCCCAGGATACGGTTGGCTTTCTGGGCTGCAAGCGCACATTGTTGGCTCGAGTTGAGCTTCTCATCAACCAGCACCCCGAAGTCCTTCTCCTCACGGCTGCTCTTGATCCATTCTCCACCCATCTTCCCACACTGAAGTCCAGATGTGTATTTTGATTACCGCAAGGTAGCATGGGCCTTTCATTGCTGTACTGAAAAGCACCAGCCTCAAGCTTGTGGAAGGGTATGCATTGTGCCACTGTATGCAGCAAATGCAATTTTTTTCCTCCTCTGTCAAACAGTATGAGAGCTCTCGTTCCTCACCCAGTATCTATGAGAGCTCTCGTTCCCCTTGGTTTGGAACTGCATTCAACATACACCACCTCAGCTGTTGTGGTTACTGCTGTAATCTACACCAGTCTGGGTGAGAGAAGGCACACTGATGAATTCAGTAAAGGCATCTGACCACTGAAAAACGAGCCAATTGGCTAGATGCAATACTGTGTGGAATGTGTTCATGTTTTCTGGAGGCTGTTGGGTAATGAGCGAAAAAACAAACAAACAATATCCTAGTTAACACCGTAGCCATGTTTAACTTGTGATTAAACTCTGGTAGGTCTTTTTATTACTCCTGCCATAGTTAACACGTAAAGATCATTTTTAGGTACATTCAGTCCTTTCTAGAATTGGTCGCAGATACGGATTATCATTATCTGATACAGATCTGTTACTCAGTTGACAAGAGATAGAAATTTTATCATCCTGGCAGGTGAAAACTGTTCAGTAATTTACTGCTTGCCACCAGAAAAACACTTTACCAGAAACGCATCTGCTCAAATACATTCATTCCAGTGAAAACCAGACTAAGAATCTGTTCCGGAAACAAGAGGTTTGATTTGTGCAGAACTAATATTGTATGATGCACACTCCTGAGACAAGGTATGCGTTCCTCTCAGCTGTTTCTATATGTTGTGGTTTAGCCCAGCCAGCAGCTAAGCTGCCAGGCAGTAGCTTTGCTGATGATGATTACCATCATCTTATTCATCTTGGCTCGCTGTGAAACTAGTTTTACGTCTGAATGAGGCTGTTATTGCTTTATATAGGTAGTTGATTTTTATATCCCCATGAAATTGACAGTTACAAAGAATATTGTTAAATAACGTGACTACAGCTTAGACAGGTCCAGAGACAGGATAAAGAAGCCAACAGATTGTTTTTTTGTACTAAGCTTTTTCTCCCATAGAGCACAGACAACATAAAATAAGCTCTCGTCTGATAGCAAACACCCGTAATACCTTGAACTATCTCAATTATAAATTATTAGCCTTCCAGCTATGTATTCCTTTTTATTTTCCGCTCCTGCAGAGTCTGGAAAATGAAGCACATTGCCATCTACGCAGATTTCGAAAAAATTCACCTGTTCAAAGGGGCTATGTATCAATTTCTAACTCTAGCAGCATTTGTTAATGAAATTTTCTGTAGTTCTGTAAAATAAGTCTCTCTACATAAGTGTGTCTCTTGTCTGAGAGTGACAAATTGCTGAACTAATTGGGCATAAAACCAAAGGGAAATAGGTGATGCCACCCAGGAATAAAGTCTACTCTTTACACTCCAAACTCAGTTTTGCTGCCACAAGTATTATATTTTTTTAAAAAAGCCTTAGTCTGAGTGCTACAATGAGAGGTCAGGGTTTACATACAGTGTTAAATCTACTTGTCAATCTGAAGACTTTGCAGCTCTAAAATAACGCTAATTTTTATGCAAGACAAGTTCCTGCTTCCTAAAACGTGTCTAATGATCTAATTCAATACGTATGCAGAGTCGTCCTTACAAAAATAAGTCTTAAAATTAGGGTTAAATTCAGCTTGATGTAAATGCAGAGAAAATTGACTAAGTTTGAGTTCACACCAGCAGAATGTGCACTTCAGTGCAGAATATGGTGCCTATTTTTTGCTTCTGAGTACAAAAAGTACAATTGTTTTTTTCCCCGAGTACTACGTACCAGAATGCTTTTGAGTAGGAAGATTATTGCCATTTGTATCATTTCTCCCTTTTGCGCACGCTAGATTTATTACTGAAGAACTTTCCTATCAGAACTTCCCTGCCAAACAGGGAAGATAATTTTCTAATCACTTTATAGTGTTTAAATAATATGCTAATTTGTAGAACTCAGTACACACAAATTTTAATAATCCAAAATATTGGTAAAAAGGACCTTCAAATAAAATCAACTGGAGGAATGCCATTGTTGCACTTTAGGCAGCAGGATAGAAGCCAGTGCTGTTTTTGTTTTCCTAAAGAAATAATGCTGTAGGAACAGGAAACGATAAAAACAGAGCACTTTTTAAACCTGTTTTGCATTGTTAATTATATTTTAAACAATAAAAAAGTCTGCATCACTTGATGACACAAGTATTAACACCAGTTTGTATAAGTCCATACAGTATCTGCTAAATAGACAAGTTTGGCAGGTTAGCAAATATCATATGATTGCAGCATCCATGATTTGAACTTGAACAGTGATTTATCCCTCTGCAAAGCTTGTAGATCAGAATAGCACACTCCCGGGTGGTTCTGGACGGTGTCTGATCCCCACGAGTTTTAGGAAAATATTTTTAGTGCATGGCTCCTGTGCAGAACTGCCCAAATCAAACAATTGTCTCCTTTGAGTTCCTTTTGAGGGACTGCAGGCCCAGCAGGGACTGCTGGTTGGAGGGGACGTTGGCAGACTTTGGGATTAGGAGTATCACCCGCTGATTGGTCCGACGCCATTCACTGTATAACCTACAGTGATACCTAAAGGATACCTGGGGAGAGAAGAGAGACGCACTGTGGTTAGGCTCACTGCGGTCCTCCCAGGAATCAGTTGAGGCTTGGGGGAAACACCTTCGAGTGGAACAAAAAGCTGGTAAGGAGCCTAATTGGGTGGGATAAAAATGAGCAAAGAGTGGTGGACAAAGATGGAACCTACCATGTAGATGGCTCGTCCCCCAAGTTGCCACAGCAGACAAGAAAAGCAGCCTGTGCCCGACCTTCTGCTTTTGCCTACCTCTCATTCCCTTTTTTATAAGATAAAAAATCAGATATCCTGCCTCTGTCTTTCCCAAGAAACGGAATTATTAGTAGCCACTTATAATGAGAATGAGCTTGGGGTACTATCATGCTACAAGTTGTTAAACTGACAGATAAGGTAATTGGCTGGTCGGTGAAGGCTTGCGGGTGCCTAAGCCGTGTGCAAACACGGACACGGGTGCACGTTCTACCTTGTAATGCTTCGCTGCAGAATGCATCAAATTCAAGATTGCACGGACGCAACGAGGCGAGTGTGAGCCATCTGCCAGCAGGTGTGTATCTCAATTTAGATTGTCTTTGAATTTTTTTTATTGTTATCAGCTAACCGATTTCAACCTCAGTGTGGTTCTGCTAACAGGGGAAGAGAAAGGACTGACTGTTATGGATATACAACATAGCTTGGCCTTGTATTTTTTTTTAAATAGTTTACTGCTTATTTTAGTGACAGCCAAGTATAGTGAGAGTTATGGCTCTGTAAGATGATGTATATGTGCAGGGTTTTTTTTTAAAAAAAGCAACCTGTAAACTGGTTTGGGACCTTTAGGGTGAAACGTGCCACGTAACAATGAGCGTGTTCTTGACTCACTGTGGGCAGGAGGGACCCACTCAGCAAGCACAGGAGGAACCTTGTCTTGTTAGCTGTTCTGTCTTCATGTGCAGCCAGTCATCTGTCACTGAGTTTTATGCAGCTCTGCCACTTCCATAGGTCAATGCTGTTCAGAGGGCTGAGGGTGCCACGAAGGCTGGGGGTTAACACGCATGGTTTGCACAGGTGGGTGGAAGATGCTGCTGACTCTGTGATGAGAAGTGGCTGTGTGTCCTGCTGTCCAAAGGATCTGCGCTGCTTGCTTTCCTACCCCTACAGCAATGGCAGGCTCAGCAATGGCAGGCTGGCTGCCAGTGAGGTATGGAGGGATATTAAGTAATATACATGCCCATGAACATATCCTTCAAAACCCTTTCCTTATTGCAAAAAGGGTGCTTTTAACTAAATGAATTATTCACCTTTCTATAAAATCCTATTAGGGACACAAAAAAAGACTTTCTGAGGGATTTTTATTAGATCTTTATACAGCTGTCTGCTGTTAATGAGGTAAACCTATAGAGCTTTTGTTCATGAAGCAGTTGCCTAAAGACAGGTCCTCCAACAGATTAATTGACTCCTCACCTTTCAGTCATCTCCTCTGCTTCCCCTGAAGGTAAAGCAGTCTGCATCTTTGTTTCTGTGGAAGATGGTACATGAAAGAACATGAGAAATCTCTTTTAAAAGGGCACTGCAGTTATCAGCAGAAATCACGTGTTAGTGGGAGGAGAGGGAAAAAAAAGAAACAAAACCTCCTCCATAGATGAATGCCATGCAAAATGCAGTGATTGCTTCAGAGGAGTGAGGTGGCATTTAGGTTGAGTTTTCAAGTAGCAGCATCACATGGAGATTCTTTGAGGAAGGGCTGCATTGTTAAGCCAGGCTTTAACTGCTTGTTTGTTTAAGGCGTGTTTCACAGGATACCCTAGTTAAGTTTGACAGCTTGTTTACAACGGGTTCTTGCCTGAAGGCAGTTTCCAAGTGATGTCAGCTACTGAATGTCAGCAAAGCCACGGTCACCTTAACATGTTACATTGGATGCAAAACTCTTGAGATGCTGAACAAAGGCCAGGTTTACATTGGTCCTTGGCACACTAAACTCCTTTGTTTGCCTCCTCAATAGGATAGCAAGGGAGGTGTTAGATATTTCTAATTTACTCTAAATTAATTGGGGCTAGCCTTTGTTTTAAATCAGCTGTTATGTTATACTGGAAGCTACAAGGCCAAATCCTGTTGTTCTCCAACTTGCTACTTGCTCTTACAGGAGTCAAGACTAGCTGCGTGCCAGAGAAAGCAGTGTGTGGCCCTGAATTCTTAGTTTAAATAGCAATCTCCATTTTGTGTTTGAAGCTTTCTTCTTGGGAGTAGCACTTTCTGTGCATGTGTGTGTACATTGGTTACAGTGATTAAATGCAGAGGAAAAGCAACAGCATTTTATGGAGAACTTGGCTGTTTTAGGGGAAGGGATAAAATAGCTTCTTGGATGCTAAAAATAGCATCTCTCCTGTTCTCTGCTCATTGGGATAACTGTGGTGTGTAAATAATTGATATGCCAGCTTTTGCCTCCAGAGAAAACAAGCTGATTTACTGGCAGTACAATGAAGTTTTAGTTTTCTTAATTTTCCCAGGACCTAAAGGAGCGTTATTTCACATGTTGTGTGTAATTTACCCCACAGCACTCAATATATCCCCTGCGCAGCCATAACTACGCAAACAGTACACAGGATTCTCCCATTTCTGAAAATTAAAGGGCAGGTGCCGCTGAAGCACTCGACCTCGACGGGCTTAGCACTTCTGCGTGTGGGTCCATTCCTTGCCGCAGGGCAAGGGGAATGTGGAGCCCCCTCAAGGCAAACGCAGGCTGGGGCTTTCCTGCACGACCTGCTGAGAAGAGAGCAGGCATGCGTCTTCCACGTGTAGGGTGCTTGGTGCCGTTTGTAAAGTAGCCGCTTTAAATCCCTGCTGTGACTTTGCAAACCTGCCCTCTGAGAAAGCATGTGAAAACACTGTCTCCCAAGCCTGCTGACTTAAGTTGCAGATACACTTAAACCTCCTCAACACTCTTCCATCCAGTACTAATGCCGTGAGGGCAATGAGAGCACCTCTGCTCCTACTGTAGGGAGAGCCCGAGAGTCCTTCCCACCGTGTCTCTCTGCTCTGTCCACTGAATTAACCCCATGCTGAACAGGAGGGTTCCTGTGCCCCGAAAGGCTTCCTGCCTCACCCTTACCTGATGAACACAGTGCTTCATGAGCCCACTCACCTCCCGATGGTATCAATAACAGATTAGAGTGGAATTACATCTTCCATAACTCAGTGGACATTAAACATACTGTATTTCAATTAAATCATTAAATTAAATTATTAAAATTAAATTTAAAAGGTGTGCATTTACATCAGGCTCATCACCACCATATTCTCCAAGTGCCAATATCACGTTTCCCTGTATGCTTTTGAAGGGGTAAAAGTTATAAAGTGAATAGAAGGGATTTTTGCCAGTTACAATGCAAATGTAATAGATGGTGTTAGGGACTGAGATGCTGCAGAAGTCTTCGTGAGCAAGGTCAGATACGTCCATTTGTCACGGGTGATTAAATCCAACTATTTAGCCATCCTACCCTTTCCAAGTTCCAGCCATTTTGATGCTGGTGAATCATTTATATTAGGTGAATTGGACAGCATTTGGGTTTCTAAGACAGTCATACACAAAGGAAATTTGAACAATCTTTGCTTGAATAACTGACAGATGTGTCTACACACAGTACCGCAGGAAACACGAGTGCCACTCACTGCTGGAGTAAATGGCCATCCCATCAAAGGGAAGTGCTGCTGCTGCTTCCCAGAAAATGGAAGCAGAAACTACAAAAAGAGGAAACCGCAGGAGTCTGAGGCAAACCCCTGAGCTTTCCCTGCTGTTGTTCATTGCTAAAATTAGCCTGTGGTCCTCTGTGGATGAGACAGGGCTTCACGGTTATGAATGAAGTAAATGAGATGTTACCTTTCACAGTTTTCTTGGAGCTAGTTATTAGGTAGTGTGGGGTTTCTGTGTTCCCCCCACCTCCCCTTTTTCAAGCTTACTCTGGGCTCAGCATAGAGGTTTCTTGGTGTGGGCTGGCTCTGCTAATGCAGTTCTTAAAGTGCCACCTCCTTAGCAGCTTACACTGATGAAGAACTGCTGGAAGGCATCAGCCATACGGCGTGTGGCCATACCCACCGAGGGGGACAGCTGGGTGCTGGCCCGGTGGGATTAGGGGCAGCGCTAGCACCACAGGCAGGGTGGTCTTGCCCCCACTCAGGGCAGCACAGCTCAGATGAAGGGTCAACCCTTATCTATATACTGGGCATGACATTGCATGATGTGGAACAATTCGTTGGCCAATTTAGCCCTCAATGCTAAGTCTACATTCAAATCATAAGGGGATTTGTGGGCCCTTTGTCCTGGGCATGGTCCCCCCCAGCCTGTTGTGCTCCCGCACATTGGCAAAAACACGGCAGCTGAAAAGTCCTTGAGGTCTCAGTGCCAACTATAAACATCAATGTGCTGTCAACATTCTTCTCATAATGAGTCCCAGACTAAAACCAAAACACAGAGCTCTTTTAGCTGCTAAAAACAACTAACTCCATCCCAGCAGAGACCAGGACAGCCTCTCACCCCAGCGCAGCCTTGCACCGTCGCACATGCGTTACTGTGTTAGTCTGAACGCTCCCTGTCTGCATCCGCTGTTCTGCTCTCCTTCCCCCACGAGAGCAAGAGGTGTGAAATGTCAAACTCGACAGTAACCTGGCAGCCGGGCTGCTCACCTAAAGCTTTTTTGTGCACTGAGCCTTCACCTTTCACACATTCTTTCATGAAACTCCCTTCTGTAGCATCTGTCCTGAAATCCTCCATGTTACTTCCTCGTCTCCTTCTTGATATCCCCTCTGGTGTTTGGGATTTGGGAATTATGGACCCCAGAGGCCAACTTTCTGCTTTTCCAGAGAAGCTGGATGGTATGCAACCAAGAGGTTCCTTGCAGATGGAACTTAAATTTACCAGTACAGAGGTAAATATAAGCAATGCTTTGTACAATGGTCCACCCACCCTACAGCACTTCGTGCAATTGATTTTCTGACTTGCTCTTCCCCTTATTTGCTATGAGTTGAACAGAAAACCAATACTTACTAGGGTCCAAAAGAGGTAAATAGTGAAGAGTGCGACAGTGAGTGCAATGAGGCCGACAGCTTCTAGCCTACTACTAAAGTGCAGATGGTCCACTGCTCCTCGTAGACACAACCAGCCAGAGATGGTCGCCAGCGGAGTGATGAACAGGAAGCATACTATGTCTCCAAAGAGAGTCCGTTTCTCGTGCTGGGGGCCGGGGTTCCTCAGCCACTGCAGGCAAAACGAGACAAAGCCACCGTCAGCACAGGGAGGACGTTTTACCCAAGACAAGCCACTCGCTTGCAAAACACGGACCTGCCCCTTTGAGGAGGAGACACGGACAATGCACAGGACGTGGCTTTGGCTCTCCCTAGAGAGCTCCCACCTGCACTTCTCCCCCCTGTTGCTTGCTGACACGCACCTCTAGCCACGTGTACCTACCGCATCACTTACTCAGCGGCAGTAAAAACTGCCTCGAGAAGGGCAAGTGTTTTGCACAGTGCAGCCCCTGGCACTCGGCTGCTGGAGTGTCTGAGAAACCCCATTCTCAATGTGGAAAGAATCGCAGGCTCTCCTGACAACTCCAGAGTGCAGAAAATGTTAGTATTTTGTATGTTATTTTAAGATTTTTCTTTTTTTTTACATTCTGCTTGTAATATCAGCAAAGCCATTTTCATCTTGCTTTCAGAAACACGCATGTAAGCAGAGTTGAATGCCCACAAGGTTACTTTTACTAAGAGGACATTAATCTTGCAAAACAGAGTGCCTGAAAGTCAACTGCCAAAGCGAAGTTTGATTGAATAGCTATCAAGCCCACACCCCCATGGTTCTATAAACAGGATTTTAGATAGCAGAGGTGAAAGAAGTTCAGCTACAACAGTACACTGAGACCTTTCAATAAAAAACCCTCATCACTCTAGTCAATATTTGAATAGGAAGACTACCAAGCCCTGCAATCTTTGCCAATGTAAGCCATAGGATCTGATCAAAACCGCTCTGCAGCATCCTTTTTTTTTTTTTTTTCTCTTTTGAGTGTATAACTGTATGCACAGTACTACTAAGGACAGCAAATATTTCTTACTGCAGCACCTGGGAACCCCAACCAGCCTGGCAGCTGAACATATTACCCTAGCCACCCAGGACAAACACAGCACGTACTGCACAGGACTGTGCCTGCCCCAGAGCGCCCACGATGTAAGCAGAGGAGTCAAAGCGGGGAGCGGGCAGTAGAGGTGGAGTAGCTGAGCTGTCATAACCCTGGCTGCCAGTGCGGCCAGAGCTGGGCACGGGGCAGGCTATCAATTCCCAGTCTGGCACATCCTTCCCAGAGCCCCAACTCCGAGCACGGAGGCTGTGCTGAAGGCAAGGAACGTCACGGTCCTTCAGGGAGCTATTGCATCATCTGTCATCAGTCCAACAAGAAACTAAAGCCACTGCAGCTCTGTGCCAGCGGACATGGATAAGGCTCATGCATTCTTAAACTGTGTGGCCCCCTCGTTCCTCACAGCATATTTTACGTGGCAGTAGAAGACCCGTCTCTTCAGCTCCAGAAAATACAGTCAGGGAGGTAACTTCATCCTTTCACCAGTAACAGCATTTACTCCCAACCACCTAGGGTTTTTTTCTTCTTCCTCTACAGCAACGACCTAGAGGAACAGCAGGACTTAAGAGTTTTTGACAATAGAGGGCAAGGCTAGAAGTGTTCTGCAAGCTAATGAGTATTTCTTGTCTAGGTACTCTAGCCTGGTATTCTAGCCTTCTGTTATTTTCAGATCCTGCTTCATTTTCTCCTTCTTTGCCCACACCATGAAAACAAACACAGCATTTATCTATCTTCATCTGGAGTATAATAATAATCAAGAAATTCAGTGCAACCAGGAACAGGTAGTCACTAATCTGGCACTAGCTGAAAGACACAAATCAGTAGACAAGTTTGCCTCAGCCTCACCACCTCTTCAATGGAAACCATAAATTATCAATCTGCTTCACAGTATTTTTGTGAAGTTTAACTATGACACAGTAACTCAGCAGCCTAAGATCTATTTTCACGTATGATTCAGGAATTTAGGAGAGCACAAAAATATCTTCACAAACATTTTTTGCAGGATGTACGCTTTTAATTTGCTTGAATGCTTTTAAAATCCTAAGGAACTGGGAAGTACTTCGCAACTGCTAGGTACCACTATAAGCAAGAAGTTGTAAGAGAAGATGCTAGTTAAAGGGGGAGGCAGTGTCTTAAGCTCAGGATTATTTAAAAATATCAGAACACCGAGTGCGATGCGTTCACCCCAACCAGCAGCTAAGCACACACACAGCCGCCTGCTCACCCCCGCACCCCACTGGCACCGGGGAGAGAACAGGAAGAGGCTGCGAGCAGAGCAGTGTTTCGAAATCTGCTTCTGTTTAGATTCTAGGTTTCAGTCTTTTGTTTTGGAAATGTGCACCATCAAGTTACTTTATAGCTAAAACGCCAAGTCAGCAAATCATTTTGTGAAACTGAAACCCACATAATGATCCCAACAAAGTGCTGAGCTGATTAATTAGCGTGGCAGTACAGTAGGGACTACCCTGCTGGCAAAAACCGAGATGTAAGGCCAGATGGAACTGTCAGACCTGCACTATGATACTCTGAAACCTGCCCTATTAAAATATGTCAAGGTGCTCCATTATTTCTGCAATAAATTGAGACTCTCACAGTAATAATTTCTATCTCGGGATAAAAGAAAAAAAAAAAGAGATCACAAAAAGGGTCATGTTTGAAGCAAAATGCTGGCCTGCCTGGCAAAGCACTGTTTTATCAAGTGCTGTCTTAAAGTGAATGACGATTCTTGGTACTGATATACAGGTAGAAAGCCAAAGAAGACATCACAGAATCACAGAATCACAGATTGTTAGGGATTGGAAGGGACCTCAAAGGATCATCTAGTCCAATCCCCCTGCCTGAGCCGGACCACCTAGATGAGATCACACAAGAAGGCGGCCAGGCGGGTTCCAGTGTTCTGTTACCCTTACTGGGAAGAAGTTCTTCCTCATGTTTAAGCGGAACCTCCTATGTTCCAGCTTAGATCCATTTCCCCTTGTCCTATCATTGGATGTCAGTGAGAAGAGCCTGGCTCCATCCTCATGACAGTCACCCTTTACATCTTTATAAACATTAATGAGGTCACCCCTGAGTCTCCTCCAAGCTAAAGAGACCCAGCTCCCTCAGCCTTTCCTCATAAGGGAGATGCTCCACTCCCTTAATCATCTTTGTGGCCCTGCGCTGGACTCTCTCAAGCAGTTCCTTGTTCTTTTTGAACTGAGGGGCCCAGAACTGGACACAATATTCCAGATGGGGCATCACCAGGGCAGAGTAGAGGGGGAGGAGAACCTCCCTCGACCTACTAACCACACCCCTTCTAATACAGCCCAGGATGCCACTGGTCTTCTTGGCCACAAGGGTACATAGCTGGCTCATGGTCATCCTGCTGTCCACCAGGACCCCCAGGTCCCTTTCCCCTGTGCTGCTCCCCAACAGTTCGGTCCCCAAAAACATGACAAAACGTTCATGTCCCCAAAGACATGAACTGACTTTAGCAATGGCAGCAAGCGCGACTTTGAGAACAGGCAAGCGCAGTGTCTGATGCACAACCCAACAGGGCTCATGACCGACACAAGCAAAGAAACTCTGTGCTTGGAGACCAACATACACCAGGTAAGAAACCAGCCCCTTGGAGAAACATGGGGTCCCACCTCATCCCTCGCAGTGACCCGTACCAAACGGGGTCTGCTCAGCTAATGGCTGTGGCTGTATCTCCTCCCTGCTTCCCCAGCTGCCCATGCCATCCCTCCGGCAGAGGATACGCCACCACGGTGGCGTGGACCACAGCACTGCTTCAGCATGGCACCTCTCCACATGGCCAAGCTCAGCTGAGTGGGGCAGGTGCTGCTGAAATGACACAGCCCGGTCCATCCGTCCGTCTGCTGGGGAACAGGCACTCCCCAAAGGGCGACTGCAGCAACGGGTCTGGGCAGGGCAACGTCTTTGGCCACGCGTCGATCTGCCCAGCAAACGCGTGCCTAAGCCTGCAGGCTACAATCCCTGCGAGACTTCAGGTGTCTGAGCCCACTAATGGGTTTCAAAATTTTATCAGATACTTAGAACTGCATACGAAACCAGATCTACAAAACCGTCCAAAATCCCCTTTCAGTGCGAACATACAGAAATGTTTATTTGACAATGTCAAATAAACTTCAGACTCCTGAGATGAGCAAATGAGCTCAGTTTCCTTTTAACTGCTTTACTTCATCCTGCCTAAGCAAACGTAACTGGAGACCAGAGAACTGCTCACCGGAAAGGAGAGATAGGCTGAGGCACTCGTGCGATGTGGCAGTACAGTTGAAGCCTTGGATGTGGAGAAGGAAATTGTCACAACAAGCAGCAACCAAGGACCAGAACAACCTGGAGAGGCTCAGACTGAGAATTTATCTAACCCAGCCGAAATGAGCTGCCAGCAGAAAACTGCTGTAAAATATCTCCAAGTCTACCTCACCATTGCCAAAGGCCAAATCCTGGAAGCTCTCACCTACGCAGGTCTAGCTTCAATTAGATGACTCACAAGTGCTTAGTAAAGTATGTGCACAGTGTTTTCAGTTCAGATCCTAAGGCTACATCCTGTTTCTACTGGGAAGCCCTTTTTAGTTCACTACATTTTCCTAGGAAAATTGATTTTACGTAAATGTTGCTGGAGTTATACCAGCAGCAAAGAAGATTCCACAGGGTATGAAGAAAATGCACCACACTGCTTTTTAGTTAAATGTATTTAAACAGTTATCACATATGAAGCTGGGGGGGGTGAAGACAGGAAGGAACTGTCTTCCCTAAATGTGTTTCCCTTTGAACTGAAAGTAGCTTATTACACATCAAACATATCAGTTCATTTCGTTCTTTTCACTCTGATAGCTCTGCAGTGAATTTTGATGAAAGCAGTCTGTACACAAGCAAAACTGCTAGCAATTATTGTCATTTCTGGTTTCATGCTAGCAATGACCAATGGGAGCACTTTGCCTCGGGCTTTGAACAAAGAAAGACTGATATTGCCTGTTTATTTTTAGAGTGTTTCTCTTGAATGAAGGACATCTTTAAAAACTAGGAGAACCATTTATTAGGGAAAAATATTAAAAATTACATCCTAACAGTTCAAATACTTTTTTACTTGAAAAATTCGTTTTAACCTTTTTCAGTCGAATGT